TCTCCTCTCTACTCTTCTCTCTCTCTCTCTCTTCCTATTTTTCTTTCTCCCTCTCCCTCTCTCTCCATCTCGCTCTGGCTTTCCGCACACGCGCTCTCCCACTCACAACAATGTGGGCAGTTATGTTTATTTGACCATTTCGGTTTGCATTTTTAGGCAATTGCCGTGAGCTTTTTTGTTGCCAGTTAGCATGCTCAGAGCACTGTCGAGGTATCGGGCCGACTCACATGGGCACGCAAGAACAGCGCGATTGAAGTTAAGTGCAAAGTAGCATTTTGATTTTCAAGTGCACAACTCATTGGTTTTTCAAAGCTCTCCTAAATGTTCGATAATCATTTAACGAAACGTCTAAGACGAACAGATATGGCCAACGGTGGCCAATCTTTGTAATAATGCGAGCAAAGGCCTCGACGAGCGCGACCGTGAAAAACGTAAAAGAAAACGGCAAACGAAAACATTCAAACGATTAGATTACGACACAGGATACGCCGCAGTGGGCCTTCATTTCTTGCGATCACACAGATGAGCATGCGGTGAGCGACGGTAGGACAGGTGACCCCTGACACCCACCTCCGGCTCGGGCCACAGTCGGTTGACGGGCGGTGTGTGTCTCGTGATGTATTGATCGTCCCACGTGTGCTCCGGGGCCAGCAGGAAGAGGCGTGTGTTTCGAATCTTGCGCTCGGCCATCTCCAGCAGAGGGTCGGCGCCTGAGGCGGCCTTCCGCGCTATGCTGTCCAGCAGCTCAGAGCGCACGGCTTCCATAATCGACGACACCTGCCGCCGGCGGTGCCGGAAACGGCGACCACGCACGTGAGGAAAGCCAGCTTCCTTGTTACATTATCCCGGGTCGTTGCAAAGAGTTTAAGAATATCTTTCTGTCTATTTTATGTATTGGTATTTATCAATTATTAGATACATTATATATATATATATATATATATATATATATATATATATATATATAGGATATAGGACCCTGCAAGGTTAGGATTTTGTAAAACTGTTAAGGCGTACATAAGAAATTTCTGCAATTTTTTATATCTTTCAACTCCAAAACGATTGCTTGGTACAGTAACTTTTTATAGGTCTGGTACACATTTTATGCAGGAGCTCTTCAAATCTAGGTGATAGCCGAAACAGTTTAACAGATCTTGTTAATTGTCATTCGATCCTCGATCCATAAGATCATAATTGTCATTCAACCGCTCTAACATCGATATTACACTCCACCCCAGCAAATCAATTCACTGGGTACTGTTTAACCTCAACTCATCGTGCAACGGTGATGAAGCCACCTCCGCCTCGTCCGTCTAAGGATGTGACATTACACCCGGGGACACGCGCCCAGGGATGCAAACGACACCCTCGCCAGGTGCCGGTGCGGCCCCACCTTGGTGCGTAACTGGTCCACCTTCCGCCGGCCGACTGCGCGCACGTAGAGCGCCGCCGTCGCCTCGGGGAACGTGTCTCGGGTCATCGCGGCGCAGTAGCGCTGGCCAGCCTCCAGGGTGTCGTCGGCGTCTGACAGTTCCGATACGACCGCCGCCAGATGCTCGGCCCTGTTTGGACGGCACGGCAGACGGTTATTGCAGCCTCAACACGACGCCTGTCGGCACTGGCAGACTCCAACCCGGCAGGTCAACGGCGTACCGTCGTTACAACTCTGGTGAGACACAGCCATATACTCGGCCCTGTTTGGACGGCACGGCAGACGGTTAACGCAGCCCCGATACGACGCCTGTCGGCACTGGCAGACTCCAATCAGGCAGGTCAACGGCGTACCGTCGTTACAGCTCTGGTGAGACACAGCCATCAACTCTGCCCTGTCCGATCACGGTCGTATCTCATTCGATACCGGGTGAGGTGATAACGGGATAGCGTATCAGAAATAGTACATCGATCCGAGTATGACGCGAGCACTTCATAACACATACTGCTCTTAATTAATTGCCGGACCACTGGGGTGACCAGCAATCTATAGCAGCTCTGAAGCTGTAGGGCACGTCATGACACGCCGGCCGCACCTGAACGCCAGCATGAGGGCGTTGTGGACGACCCTCGGCTCGTGCCTGCGCAGCAGATCGCCCAGCTGTGCCAGGTAGCGCGGGAAGTACACGTACACGGGGTCGTCTGGCTTGACGGCGATCTGCGTGACCCCCGGCAGGAAGCGCATCCAGTCGATCTGCGAGCGCCCAACCGTGTGGTCACTGGCGGCCGGACGACAAACGATGCCCCGCTCGCATGAGCCCTAGCTGATGACAACGGTCCCCAGGGATTTACAGAGAAGCTGACAACAGGGATGGAGTCAACTGGCCCTCTCCCCAGCAGCGAGAAGGGGAGAGGGCAGTTACTTCCTGGGGAGCAAGGGTTTGTTTTTGCCCCCTAAAAACTTGGGAGTCACTGCTAGCCTAAACCAAAGGTTTATTGCTACACATATCTCACTAAAATACAAATCAAGGACGCCTCATGACTGAGCTAAGGGGTACTAAATCATTCTCAGGTCCTTTCCCCCATAAATAGAACCGTTCTCTCGCTCTCGGACACTGTTTTTGTGTTGAAGAAGCCCGTTTGCTGGCTCGGGAAGCTCCTGTTCTGAACTAGGAATCTCTGTTTTGAATTACAAGCACCTTCAACATATCAGGATGCCTGCTATTCTTATCCAGAAGGCCCTCTCTCATGTGTCAGAATGTCGCTGCTTCAGATTAGGATGCCCTGTTTTGGATAATATGGCCTTCGGCAGATTTGGAGGCCTCCTTGTCAATCGGCAGGACCCTGTCTTGGATCAGGAGTCACCTCTAGGCATCAGAAGATCTTCTTTAGGAACAGAGAGCTCTGGCTTGAGGTAAGAAGGCCCTTCGTTGGATCGGGAATTCCCTGTATTCATTTTACACGGGGCACGAGCACCCTGAATACGACACTGCACAGGAGATCCCCTGTGAGCAGGCTTATTTTGTCGATGAGGCCTTTGGTAAAGTCTGCCCCCTCCCCCCCCCAATCAAAGTCCGCAGCGCCACCCCCCTGTTCGACAGACACTGGCCACGGACTGGTGCCTCCAGACATGCATCCGGGTTTGCACCCGGATAATGCACCCGACTCCGGATGAACTCCAGCCCCATGGCCTCTCGGGAAATGGATTGAAGTACATCCGCTTATTTCTCGGGTGAATCTTATCCACAACTGAATTAACCAAACTTGAAGGAACATTTCTGGGAATCGGACTCACAGCCGAGCCTAACTGGAAATTAATTGGTCTCACGCTGAGGTATTCTGAAGGAAAACCTGGTCCAACACGAAGCTTGGGCTCAAATTAAAGTGCTCCAGGATTTATCTTTCGTCAAACTTTAGAACCTGGCAAGAACTCTGGCGCCATACTAAACCTCATGCTTCCAACCGCTTGACTTCATGCAAGTGAGCAGCCACAGTTCACGCATGACTCGGAGTCGGGTCACTTTCCGACATCACTTAGCCACTACGCACTAATGGGCCCCGACTCGCAGCCGTCGCCTCACTCTCGGAGGCGGAGACGAGATAGGCTTCCATATACCGTGAAGCCGAGAAGACTCGGGCCCTAACTCGGGCACTAATATTCGGGACACGGCCTGAACTCATGGAATGGGGGAAAGATCAGCTCGGTACTCGGGTCAGGATGCAAGACGAGAGGATCGGAGTTCGCACTTGACCTGAGTCTAACTGGATGCATAGATGACACACAGCCGCACAGGCGATTGGAACACAATGGACGAACGCTGATTCACAGAATGGACAAAACTCGTCCAAACATCGTGTTGTGACAAACGAGAGTGCCCGTGTTTACAGAAAGCAGAAAGCAATGGTCTAAACACTCACCAAACAGCTGACAAACAGCGACCCAGACGAACGTAGCGGGCGGATCTTGCCCCCCCCCCCCCCGGAAAAACGAAGCTGTTCGTTTCAATAGCATAGGGACAAAAGTAGACTGTGGGCCTGTAGTAGTTTAATAGACTGTGGGCCTATTATATAGCAAGTAACAGCGCTCATTAGTTCCAAACGTCCTGCTCCACCGAAAATGTGCATGCTTATTGGCCAGGTAAACTCTTACAGCGAATGCTTCAGTGTCAACTCAAAGGACTGGCCATAATTCTGACATTCATTCATGCTAAACGGAGCTGGAAATCGAATATAGCCACACAAATAAGGCATCAGCGCCATTACATCACGCTCTGAAAAACGTAAAAGACGTCGCATTCGGCTCAATCTTGCCGGCTCAGTACAAACCGCTTGAAAATACTGTCCAGGGATACTGGCTGCCACCAAACACTTTTGCATCCTATTTTACTAATAGACGAAGCCAGTTGCCTGAGCGCTGCATGCGCAAATAGCACACAATCATGTCTAGTCGACAGTGCATGGGTGTCGTCGTCTCGAACAGTGCACCCCATAGGACGCCCTTGAAGACGCTGCCCTGGAAACGAGCGCTCTCTTCGCAGCATTATTGTGAGGTGTCGTGCATTGGGGTAATAAGCCACAGGAAACGTTCACACGGGGCGACCGGCTGCGGCCGCTGACCGCCGCGCGGCTGATGGTGCACATTGACTGTTCAGGGCTTTGTCGCCGCCATGCTGCTTTCCCATCTTGCAGTTTTTGCGATGCGCTTATAGCCTCTCCAGGCAGCAGTCGCCAGTGGTACTGTGTTATACCCCAGGTGGTGCCAGGTTAACGGCGCTGCTGCCGCGCGCCGCATTCTAACAGACTGCAACGCCCGAAGCTGTGAGCGGGCTGTCTTCTGAAACAAGCGCCATAAATCGATGATTTTGACCCCACCGCCGGCGCACCAACTCTGGAATCTCAGGAACCTCATCTCTGGAATCTAAGGAATCTCAGGAATGTCTGGAATCTCCCTGGAATCTCAGCACCTGACCGTCGGACTCGAATAAATCAAGTAGAAATCAATAGCATCAGCCACCCTCACTCAAGATTCATGAGCTCATATCTGTCATGGGATCAGCGACGTCGCAGGTTACAAAAGTGCCTCAAAATCATCAAATCTGGAAGATTTTTGGGGGTTTAAGGCAGTCCTCATATTTGTTGTGCAGTTTGCAACCGCCACCAAATAAAAGAGCGTGTTACTGCGTTCAGCGAGATATTCCCCTCTTAACAAAGAGTCAGGATGTCGTCCCAGGCCATAGCTATACCTTAAAACCACCCAAATCTCTTAAAGATTTCAGAGCTTTTCAGTGACCGATAACCTCGTGGCCATACCAGCAGCGTAGTGATCAAGCTGCGTGTCTGAGAAATCAGAGATACGGGGTTCGATTCCCTACGGTGCCCATTCACCCAGTCAGCGTGAGAGGCAGGTGGTGCTAGATAGACTCAGCAGCCGAGTACATGGTAAAGTCCCAACAACAGCTAAAGGTTCGTTGCACAGCTTTGTAGCCAACATCAAAAGAGAGAGCATACTTTTTTCTTCGGAAACCTACTCTCGTGTCAACGGAAGTCAGAGATGTCCTCAAAAACAAAAACACCGTAAAATTACCAAAACCTCTACACCCTCATATTCTTCCAGCAGCCGTTATCTTCACGATACTTATCATCTATCTTATCTTCTGTTCTACCTTCAAGTTATCTTGAGTCAGATCAAGGCCAAAGGTGCCCAAGGTTGGTGAGCTTTTTTGGTGTGATGTATGAAATGTTTGCGAAGCTTGGTGGAGGTGGGACTTTTAACCCCCAGGCGGTCCCGGATTACAGGTACTCTTGCAGGCACACCTCTGCCCGCTATGATCGACCTATCCCAGCTCAAAACTCCCCACACGCGTGGCACATTCACTTTAACAAGCCATGGCGTTTTTAAGGTGTTGAGCTCACTGCATTCTGCCTTTCAGTTGCGTATGTAGAAAGTCGCGGATTGCCGGTCTGATTCGTTTGGTATCTTTCCTTTCCGCAAATATGTCTGTACCCTATGTGAGGCTGCAATGTTCTGACGTTTTGTTGGGATTAGAACCCTACTTATTGGGTTAAATCTTCCGCTTGTCCTAGGAAACTAATTAGAAGATATTTGGATGACTTTATACCCTTAACATTGTTCCCAATGTTATGCGACTGACTAGCTGGGGGACAATTCTCATAAAATTTGGTTGACTTGCGTCTCAGCTTCGGAAAACACGTCACAAGTAACAAGTGAGCGTACAGAACAAACACCCGACCCGACATTCTACACGACACTTATCTTACAGCCTGCTAGAGCAAATGATGCATACGATTCACTTCACGACATAAGAGCGTAACTAACGTAAGGGTACTCGGCCTGCATTGACATCACTGTGCCTCCACGCTGAAGCAGGTAGTACCGGGTGGCCATGATGTCTCTCTCTTTAGGGCTGGGCAGGATCTGTCGCAGGCAGAAGAGCTCTGTCAGACAAGTCCCGACTCCTACGGCAGGGACGGCATTACAGCCTCCCGAGAACACCGCACCTGGAGACTCCAAATCGGTGCCTTGCATCGCTCTGCTGTGACCTTTTGATAGAGAAGCGTGACATTACCAAAACCGGCCAAAATATCTCGCAAATTAGCAGTTTGCAACAGATGGCTGGGTCAAGCTTTCATAGACGGCATGGCCGCCCGTTCGTCGCTCCCCTAGCGCAGATCCCGTGTGGTCGACAGACATAGCTCCAATACGCTGACCGGGGCGAGTTTCAGCATTGTTCCGCTGAGCTATGGCAGTGATGAACGGCAGTTGAGAAACTTCATTGTGCGGTGAAGTCGACGGATAAATTGTTCCGGCGCCCGAAAGTGACATTACCAGATGTAGGTCTTGCAAAAATCGGATCATATTTTCCAGTTCAATCTCGCTGCCGCGCTCAGGGAAGAGGCCCTTGGCAGCAATGTTTTCCTTGAAAAATTCCTTGATATCATCCATCTTGTCAGAGTGGGCCTCCTCCTGCGGCAGACAAACGTCCATCAATAGCAGAGCTAAGCAAAACCAGATCCGCCCGACAATTTTACACAATATATTAGTACTAGATCGTATTCGACATGGCGGCAGTGTGCTGTACGCACTGAGATATTTGTCTGGCGAGTTGTACGAGGAACACTTCACTTTGGCATCGAGAAGCAGCCAGTCCACAGTTTTTACTCGCTTAGTGACAGCTCGCAGGCACCAGCACCAGCGACAGCTATAAACAGCGGAGCTGTTTGGCTCACCCTGTCGTCCGCATAAAGCCGCGAAATATTC